CCTTTCCAAACCTCTGCTTTCCCTAGACAAGTGCCAGCTTCTTCATCCTGAACCCCCAAGAGCTACCTGGCCCTCTGAACCACCTGGCAAAGCTATGGCTGCCCTATTATGTACTTGGCCTTGACTGAGGCCAGAACCACACTGCCAACCACTCAGGTGCCTGGGCAGTGTCACCTGAGGCAGTGGGGACCCCAGGAAAGGGATGGGGCCTGGTGCTGGCCAATCAGCTTCCTGCCAGGACAGGCTGGCTGCTGGGCCCATGGGTCAGGACTAAACTCAACACACTGCTAGTCCTGTCACCACCTTCAAGTTTCCAGGTTTATCAGCAAGAAGGAACCAAAGACAGAGGCACGAAAATGTAGGGCTTGCTTGGGAGGATGCTTGTATATGGATTAATCCGGGAGAGCAGGAAGAGAGTCAGATACAGGGTATGGGAGTAGCCTAGTCTCTGGTGGGGGTAGGTGAGAGGTAGGGATTGAACTGTCCCCCTCAGAGGGGAACACAGATGACACTTGGTAGAGTGAGGGCTGCCTGAGGGCTAAGGTTGTCCCTTCTCCAAAAGAAGGTGTTGGAGGCCATGAGAACGGGTTTCATGGACCTCCAGCTATGAATAACTGACCAAGAGCATTCACCTGGACCAGACTTCCAGGTGAGCAGCCTGGGAACTTCCCCTTCCTAGGAGCTGCCCGGCCACTAATTGAGCTGAGCAAGGATACTAAGGTGGGCCCCCCATCCTGCGAGACATCGAACTCCCCTGATGGTTTATTTTGGCTCGCTGAAGGCCTTGGCAAAACTTTCTTAGACTAACTCTGCCGCAGAAATCCACCCTACCTTCCCACACTCTCTCCTTCACTCAGGGGCACACTTACCTCAACGTCTGACAGCTCTCCTAGCCTTCCTGGGCACCTACCCAATTTTCTCTCACAGCTGTTTCCTTCCTCAGAACCTTACAACCACCTCCCAGCCTTGGTGTCTGTGTCTCAGAAGACTCAGATCATCACAGAAGTCTATTAGGTTGCCAGAATGATAAATCCCTGTGGGTTAGGACCTGTTAGTGGGACCTGTCGTGAACCTTTAGAGTTACCTAGAAGAAAAGAATAAACAACAGGAAGGAGATGGAGAGAGGAATGGTCTCTGGACCCTCTGAATGCCAATCTCTCCAAACTGGTTTGGCTCTGACTGATAGAGAGAGGGCAACGCTTCTGCTGCCACCTGGTGGCCATGATAGGCAAAGCCCCTTGGCATCTTCCCACTCTGTTCTGTGACTCTGCTTGATAGGGTGCCCGTGGAGAATTTGTTGGGGTCCCCTTCTCCCTCGTTTGCAACATTAATTGTAGGTGTTGACTTCTGAACCGTATGCCCAAGGGTTTTTCCTTTAAAATTAGCACCATAGTTGCACATACCTGTGAACACATGGAAAATTATTGTATACTTTAAATGGGTGAATTGTACGGTATGTGAATTATATCTCAATAAAGCTGTTTTTTTTTTTTTTTTTTTTTAAACCAGCATCATGGGGGCGCCTGGGTGGCTCAGCAGTTCGGCGTCCACCTTTGGCTCAGGTCATGATCCCAGGGTCCTGGGATTGAGCCCTGCATCGGGCTCCCTGCTCAGTAGGAAGCCTGCTTCTCCGTCTCCCACTCCCCCTGCTTGTGTTCCCTCTCTTGCTGTCTCTCTCTTTGTCAAATAAATAAATTAAATCTTTAAAAAAACTATAAAAAAATAAAACCCAGCACCATAATAGGAGTTGGAATCAAGGGAAACTTTTAGGACATGAAGATGAGTATGGTTGGTCTTGGTTTCTTAGGACATCCCCAAGCAGATATGCAAGAAGTTCATAGTGCCCGTATTCAGTAAATACTTAATAAATTACTTATGTAGTTAAGTGGAGCCACTTCTTTTATTGTCTCACCATCCACTCTTTAACCTCAACACCCCCACTTCTCCAAATCAGGCATCCACAGCCTTCTCAATTTCCAAGGTCACCTGAGAGATTCTGGTCTAAAGCATCTGAAGGCTTTTAATTTATCAGAACACTTGACCTTTTAGCACTGTTTGGTACAGTCAATAATCACTCCCTTCTTAAAATACTCCTCCTCTGACTTTTGTGTCTTGAAAACTCTTGGTTCTCCCCCTGCCTCTCTTACGACTTTTTCTCTCCCTTTCTGGCTCCTCTTCCTTCCCCTTCAACTTCAGTTCCTTTCTCCCTTCATGCAATCCTTTGGCAATTTCAGCTGTTCCTGTGGCTCCAATAAACACGTCTAACTACACCATCACTCTCACCAGTGTTTATTACTGTCTCAAACTCTAACCCAAATTGTCCAGTGAGCCCTCAAATTTCAACATCTGAGTGTCCCATTAACACTTTATTTCTTAAATATTTTTTAAAGATTTTATTTATTTATTCATTAGAGACAGAGAGAGAGGCAGAGGGAGAGGGTAAGGGAAGAGCAGACTCCCCGCTGAGCAGGGAGCCCGATGCGGGGGCTTGATCCCAGGACCCTGGGATCATGACCTGAGCTGAAGGCAGACGCCTAACGACTGGGCCACCCAGGCGCTCCTGAAACCTACTTTTGATCCCTCTCCTCCCGCCCACCCATTAATAGCATCACTGACCTTCCAGGTAGGGGTTTGAGACCTTGGAGCTGCTTTGATTTTGCTCTCCCTTGTACCCTACCTCCAGTCAGGTGCTAATTCCTGCAGGTTCTGCCTCTGGGAGGCCTCACATATCTTCCCATTCCTTTCTATTCGTCTGTAACCATCATCATTCAGGCTTTCATTCCTGTCCCTAAACGAGCTCCGCAAACTTCCAACTGATTTCCTGGCTTCCAATCTGCCCCCAGAGCAAACCCTTATTGTCCGATTAGGTTTCATAAAATATAGCTTTCATTTCATTTCTCTGTTTGGAAGTTTTCTTTGTCTTTCTTTTGCCTGAATCCAGTTGAATTTCTATTGCCTGAATGAATTAAATGTCTGGCATTTGAGGCCTTCCATATTCACTCCCAACCCTCTTTCCAGGCTTCTTTCTTATTCTCCAGTGAGAACAGTGGGACTGTTCTTCCACAAGAGCAAGCAATGTTCCCACCTGCCAGATTTTGCATGCACTGCTATCCCTGTGTGGATGACACCCAGGAAGTCATTCTGTGTAGTCAGACAGATCTGACTCAAAGATGGATTCCAGCACAATTTATCTCTCGAATCACCTGTAAAATAGAATGACAAAAGTCTACTCCATTGGATTGTGTGAGAATTAATTAATATAATGCACTGTAAGGCGTCTGCCATGTGGGTGGTTAATAAATGGTAGCTATGCTTTCTTTTTGTCTCTTAAAATATTTGTCCTCCTTTTCCAAAGGATGTCATCCAAAGTCCACTTCATTTTTTTTAAGGATTTTATTTATTTGACACAGAGAGAGAGAGAGCACAAGCATGGGGAGCGGCAGGCAGAGGGAGAGGGAGAAGCAGGCTCCCCACGGAGCAGAAAGCCCAACATTGGGCTCCATCCCAGGACCCTGGGATCATGACCCGAGCTGAAGGTAAACGCTTAACTGACTGAGGCACCCAGGCGCCCCTCAAAATCCATTTCAATGCTATTCATTGCAAATTTCCTTTCTTGAACTTTCCACTTGCCACCCCAGTTACCTTCCTTCCTCAGAGCTGCTGTTAGATGCTGTATTTCTCACGGCAGCTATTCTCATACTCATCACATGCTTCACCCATATTCTTGCCCAACTGTAGTCTCCAAGGAAGTAGCAATTAATACAAAGTCTTGGAGCAAACAGGTGAAAAGCAAAGTGATTGCATGTATGACTCTCGTGTCAAAAAATAAACTGTCATGTTTCCTGGCTGGTGTGGAGGGCCAGTGTGGCGAAGCCAACCACCCAAGAGCTTCTGTGAGTCTAAGATGAAAATGCACCTCAAGTCTTTATGAACATAATAACTACTGACTACTGGCTTTTAAAAATACTTTTTTTTCTGAAAGTGAAAGTACTCATAATTACCGTAGAAAAAAATTAATGAAAATAAAATAAACAAAATAAAACAAAAATTAGCAAAATAAAAAGCATCCACCCAGAGATATCATTACTACGTTGTTAAATTCTTTAACATTAGTCCTTTTTTAAATGCATCCAAGTATAATTTACATATAAAATATGGACTCTGTAGATATATATGCCAGAATTATGATGAGCATTTTCTCATGACATTAAATACTATCCAAAGTGTTGATTTCTGCACAACAACCCATCATGTGTATGTATCCTTTTTTTTTCAAATTTCCAGTTGGTTTTAATGAATGGCAGCACCATATCACATGCAGTTCTGGGTGAGTTCAGGGTGAGAATTTCCAATAAGCCTTTTCTAATACTAAAACTGCTTGTTTTTGTGTCATCCAAAGTCCACCTCAAGGTGAGGGGAAGAGAAGGCTGGATGGGTCCTAAGTTTCTTGGGGGGAATCCAAGTCCATATAGTTCTCTCTTCTCAAGGAGATGGGGGCAGGAAGAGCAAGTTCTAGCCCCCAGAGAAAGAAGGACTAACAAACCATAAACACATTACTCTCTCCTTCTTATGAGGCCTGCCTGCCCTTTAAAAAGAACTACATCCTTAACTCACAGGTATTTTTCAAACTTGTATCCTTATTTATCTAATATTTTTTCTATTGTTGGATATTTGAGCTTCCTCTTTTTCAGCTTTTAAAAAATTGTTATCAATTATGCTGATAGAAACATCAGGATAGATTTCTAGATTTGGGAGTATAGGGTGAACAGAATAAAAGAAACTTAAGCTCTTGGTTCCAAATTCCCATTCAGGAAATTTAAAAAAAAATTGACCTTTATTGAGGTATGATTGACATACAAAAAGCTACACATCTTTAATGTATGCAACTTGGTGAGCCTGGAGATAAGTATACACCTGTAAAGCCTTCACCTTGGGAAATTTTTCATCGCTTTGTAGTTTTACTACTCTAGCTCTCTTATTAATTTCTGCCTCTTTCCCAGGTATCAAGGAGATAATCGATTTCAGGAATGAAAAGTGGTTGGATTCCATGTGCTCAGAAGGAATCTAAAACAAGCCTTCAAGTTGAGCTCAACTCATGTGCCCGTGACCATGAGGGATAAAGGTTACTGTAAGTTGTAACATTTCTTGCATTGTCATAACTTTTTCCTTGTTTGGTCATTTAACTCAGTCTGTTTCCTTATGTATAGTAGCGGTAAAACATTTCTGAATCTCAGAAAACCCTGTTTGCTGCAGGGCCAAGAAGTGGGAAGAGAGGTAGAAATCGTGATTCTATTCCTCATTTGCTTTAGAGCCTTAGGTCTCCTGCTGCATTGTCTCATAGCTCCCTGTACTCCTCCCTTGCAGCACTTTTTATGATTACAAATCCTAAGTTATCTGTGTATTTGCTTGATGCCTATCTTCTTTGCCAGAATCTAAGTTCTGTGAGGCAGGGGCCCTGATGATCTTATTTGCTGCTTATCCCAGAGTCCCTCCTGTATAGTCAGCATTCAGCAAATACCTGTGGACTGAATTATGACTGGAATGAAGACTCAAGATGGAAAAATATGTGTCCCCTGTGATGGGGCCCTGAGAAGCTGGGACAAGGGGGTGTATTGGGTGACTGCCCTGAGACCCTGAAATGATGCTGGAAGGGTGAGTGCCTGAGGGATTTGCCCAGGTGCTCCAGTCTCCCCTCTTCACAGGCTTGGGACATTCAGTCAGCCAAGTCTCCTGTGAAATTTGGTGAGTTGCTCTGAAGGAAAGAACTGTGTTCTCTCAAGTTCTCTTCCCCATAATCCCCCTTCTCTCTCGTGCCTTTCTTTCCCCTCCACCTCCCTCCTTTCTTTCTAGCCTGGTGTCTCCAATTCACATGGAGCTCTCTCCTCCCCCACTCCACCTTCTCTAGCAGGAGGCTGGGCTGACACTCACCATCCTATACAGAACCCTGCCTGCCCCAGCTGGAGCTCTGCCTGGAAGTGATAACGCTGACTGATTACTTCAAGACCATGTGAGTACTCCATGTCTGGACTACGCTCAGCAGGGGGCATGATCATGGCCTCAGACCCAAGTTTCCAGGCAACTGAAGACTAACTTCCTTATTTTTGTTGATAACATCATCTGTCTCCCACCACCTGGGTTTTGTTGGTCCCCTCTACCTGTCCAGTCTTCTGTAGAAGGCATGGGCAAACGGGGATAGTTGTCCAGGAGGGGTCTCTAGAAATGGGAGGAAAGCTGAAGGGCTCATTTAAAGAGGTTCTCTTTGGGGCACCTGGGTGGCTCAGTTGTTAAGCATCTGCCTTCGGCTCAGGTCATGATCCCAGGGTTCTGGGATCGAGCCCTGCATTGAGCCCCTCATTGGGCTCCCTGCTCAGTGGGAAGCCTGCTTCTCCCTCTCCCACTCCCCCTGTTTGTGTTCCCTCTCTGGCTGTCTCTCTCTCTCTGTCAAATAAGTAAATAAATAAAATCTTAAAAAAAAAAAAGTTCTCTTTGGAGAGACAGAAGATGCAAAATGTATTCCAACAGGACTTGTTAAATCCAGGAGGTCACAGGAAGGAAGTAAAAGACTGAAGTGGGTCATTTCGATGAGGGAAGTGGATCTCGTCCAGCCTCTCTGTGAGGTCCCTGACAAAATACAACAAAATGCTATTTTCTTGGCCTTCTGGGCTGGGACAGCTGCAACAGGACTTCATACACCTGAATCTTCCAATGGATCTGGCTTGTCTGTTCTAAGGAGTTGTGGCTTGTGGTGGCCCCGGGCACAGTGCTATGATGTTTATTGTACAAAAACAGGAAGGGGGGACTCCCTTGGGATTAGCCTTCTCATGTCAGTTTGCTTGGTCCACTGTGTTTGTTGCTGAAAACTTCAGCTACTCAAATTTCGGTATTTTTGCCACACAGATGACTGGTGGTATACTGGTGAAGGGTAAGTCCTTAGGTGCAGGGTTTTCTTATAGATGAGTGATCTCCAGTGTCTTCCATTGAGAATCATTGCCATAGTGAGCCATTGTTACTTATAGAGTGTGCTCTATTGTTTATGTTTATTGGGGTGGAAAAGGTTGAGGGTCACTATGTAAAACACAGAAGGTGATTTGAAGATTCTCCCTGTAGAATCTGGACCATGAGTCGCCCCAGGGTTCCTTTCTCTAGAATATGGAAGGTGGTTTCTCCTGGGGGAAATTTACATGGAGAACTTATAGGGAAATGAGCTACAAGTTTCTATCCCATGGCCTTTGCTGTCTCTGGTCTCTTTGTCAGGACCTAGTGGATCTGAGTGGCACTGAGGAGCCTGGCTAGGATGTGCATGGCGTGGAAAAGGAGGGTACTGGTGGTGGAAATGTAGTAATCTTTTTCTGGTGTGCGCAATAGGATAGCATGCAACCAAAAAATGTATCCCAGTGAAGCAATGGGACCAATTCACCAAGTGGGCTAAGAGGCATCATGGTAAAGAAGTACTTTGGGTTCTGATGGACAGCAAGTCTTGCCATGTCCTCATGAAACTCTTCTAAGAGCTATTTTCTTTCCAGACTACTGTTATAATAGTCTTCAGGTGAAATGCCATCGTTCCACTCTGCCGTTGTCAGCTGGAATGGAATGGGGGTGGATACAGAGGGTTCTGGGACCCTTGTCTCTCAGAGATAATGACAACAGAGTCCTGACTGAAGGTATCTCCCTGAAACATGAATTGCTGTGGATGAGTGGGGTACACAAGGATGGATGCTGTGGTAAGACAATTAAATTTGTTTGGTGCTTTATAGCACACAGTTTATGATGGTTTCTATATCTACTGTTTGAATCCTAAAACAGTCCTTCGGTCAGCAGGGCAGGCTTTAATGGGAACACTTTGTAGATATATAAACTAAGTCTCAAAGGGACTTGCCCGGAACTATACAGTTAGTAAGTTGCTGAACCAAGAGTTAAACCGGGAGTTTGGGTTTCAAGGTCAACCCTCTTGGGTTTTGCTAAATTGCTAAAAGGCAACCTGAGCCACAGGACTCTGACACTGGTTGCCCTTATTAACTGGCCACTCAGGAAAAACCAAGTGCCACAGAAACTTGAGGACATGAAGAACTGGCAGACGAAAGCGTCAGGAACTCCCACTTGATTACCATACTTAGGACTTCTTGAGTAAGACTAAATAACCTAGGAATGCCCAGCATCTTTTGAGAAAATTTCTCAAGCTGGTTATATAACCTGTGCTTCCCGGGGGTATTATGATTGATCCGTGGGGAATGCTAAAGACTGAGCAGGGAAAAGCAATGTTTCCTCAGTGGGTGACCATGAATAAAGCAGTCCAGCTCTGGCCTTAATGTCACAAGGGTGTGGGACCTGTCGCATGATGAACCTCTTTGAGTCTATCCAAAACCTTGTTGATCACTAGCCTCTCTCAGAATATAAAATTATCCCCCAAGGAATCCGAAACCATCTCCTGTTCCTCTTGCTGTTTCTTTGGACTATGCTGCTAGCTTCCTGTTCATTACCTCTGTCCCAATGTTCAGTTTTGCAAGCCAGGGGTCCTTTTCCAATTGTTTGAAAAGCTTGTAGGTGAGAGGCAGCAGCTCCGGTTCCTTCACTATCCGCTGATTTCATATAAAATGATCTTTTGTCTTTCCAAAGATAACAAGCACCTTGGAATATGTCTCATTAGCTGCTAAAATGTAGAGATGAAACTCTTCCATCTAGGGAAGCTCACAGAGAGGCCTTAACTCCAGCCCAGACAGTTAATTCCCTAACAGTATCTGGGCCTGGGGCAGGAGATGCATGCTGCAGAGCCAGGGGTAAGAGAGCTGCTGCTTTTCCAGCCCTTTCTCGGGTGTTGGAAAGCACCTATTTATCAAGGGCCCGAGGCCAGCCTTGGGTTGTCTGGGATCAGGATCTCTTTATGGGGACACTCGGGACTGGTGACTTCCACTAGGCTGGTGTTTTACTGAGGGGGGGAACATGGGCTTCGGTCAAGTGGGGCAATAGAGTGGCCCAGATGGGGAACCAGCTGTTGGAGAGAGGGCAGCCCCCACTGCAGCTGTCAAGGAGAAGGTAACCCCCTGCCCCTGTGGGGCCAGTACCATCCTGGGCCACAGCACATGCTTTTAGGGGAGCCAGGACAAGTGATCAGAGGCCGGAGCAGGGCCTAGGCAGGGATGTGCTCGGGGCACAGACACCAGAGATTGAAAAGAAAGAAGATCAGTTCGGATACCTCTCATAGTTCCATTTTGTGCTCATGCTTAGTAGTCCTCAGTCCAATACTACGAACCCTTAGGTAAAGTTGTCAGCTGAGCTGGGTCCAGACATCCACTCCTCTTAAGGAGTCCCAAGTCACACTGTCCTTGCCCTTTGCTCTCTCATGCATTCTCCCAATCAGGGTTTAGGCTCTTCCCTAGGCTGAGCCCCACACCCTTAAGGAACACCTTTCTGTCAGTGTAGTTCTCTCATAAGCTATATGAGGGCAGACCTCAGAAGGATACAGATAATCTGGAACTCTAGTGCCCCCCGTCTCTGCGCCCGCCCCAACCTCAACAGCAGTCAGAGACCCTGACCCTTAAGTGTCTGAAACAGAAGCTCCTCCTGCCACTACCTTTTCGCCCAGCTATAGGGGTAGAGTGAAGAAGGGGAGCCCCCCCTTTTCCACCCCACCAGGGACAGCTCAAGGTGAGACATTAAAGGAGCCTCAGACACCATTGAATGAGCCTGGAAGGGAAGCAGCACTTTCCAGTCTCCTGTCCCCGGCCTTGGCCTGCAGCCCAATCCATGGCGGCCCTTTCAGGAGCTTTTAGTGGAAATTCGCCCAGACTGGCTGGAGTCCGCCAGCCCTTCCCACTGCTCTCTCATCTCCTCTTCTGTCTGATTGGGACCACCCCCCCCACCAGGCCCCTTCTATAAACAGCCCTCCTCCCCGCCCCAGCACTGGCCTCTCTCACCCCTCCTTCCTTCCACCCCAGTCACCACATCTCCCTCCCAGGCTTCTCTCTCTCCTGCCAAACCCCTGACTTCCAGCTCCCTTCCACGCCCTGTCTTGAAGCTAGAGGAAGAGAGAGAGAGCCCCTGACAGGACTGATAGCCATTCCCCACCCCCTCCCACCTGCCCCTCCCCCAGTGGGGACAGATTCCCACTACAACAGGCAGGAAGCAGAGGCTTCCTGAGACCAGCTGCTCTCACGCTCCTTTGCCTTCTGCTGGCTAGACTGGGCTGTGTCTTTGCTCCCCCTTTCTTCAGGGGACAGTGGGTACCTGCGGTGCCAGGCCCCCTACCTCATTCCCCATGAATGCTGTGGAAAGTCCCGAGGGGCAAGAGCTCCAAAAGATGGGGAGTGGAGCCTGGGACAACCCTGCCTACAGTGGTCCCCCCTCCCCACATGGGACACTGAGGATCTGCACCATCTCCAGGGCAGTGCCCCCCCAGCCCCAACCCAAAAAGCCTGAAGATGGATCCCAGGAGAAGGCCTATAGGACCCTGGTATCCAGCTGCTGCTTCCAGATCTGTCGTGGCATCAGAGGTACCTGGTGGGAGGAGAGTTCTCCTCGGATACTGGAGTTAGGAAGGGAGTCCCAAAAGCTTTGCAGGGGGGGAGATGTGACCTGAAGAAGAGGTGGGATCTCAGTCTCTTTGGGCTTTATGAATTGTCTGTTAGAGCTGAAGGCCCCAGAACACAGAGGCCAGTGTAGTGGTCTCTTAGAGGGAGAGCCTGGTAGAGTCATCTCTGGGGGCACAGAAGGGTATGGAGGGAGTTAGCTTGAAGGAGGACATGTTTGTGATGATCCCCTACCTAGGCTGTCCCACCTGAAACAAGGACCTCCTTTCCATGTCTTCATTCTCTGCTACTCAATGTCTTTTCCACTGTCTACCTCAGGGTGTTTGATGAAGGAGGGCAGGCTTGAGTGTGGTTAGAGTAGCCAGATTCAGCCAAGATACATGGTGATGGGTGAGCAAAGGGCCGGGGTAGAAATGGGAGTAATATCCAGGGACTGGTGGGTTGGGCATCTGGGAGGAATCTGCTGCTAGCGATCCTAGGCATCTCTGTCCCTTAGGACTTTGGGGAACAACGCTGACTGAGAACACAGCTGAGAACCGGGAGCTTTACGTCAAGACCACCCTGCGGGAGCTGTTAACATACATCGTGTTCCTGGTGGATATCTGTTTCTGTGAGTAACATCTGTCTCTGTGTACCTCTGGCTGTAAGAAGCATCTATGTGTACAACATCTGTATACACACTTCCACAGCAATGCCTGAGGAGACAGCATCTATCTGTGAGCCGGCTATGTCCTGGGATTGATTACCTTTTCAGCTTAAGATGTTTTGATTAAAAAGAACTTGTCACTGAATTCAGGAGAAGAAGGCAGATTGTTAGAAAGCTGTTAAAGTTACTTTGTCAAGAGTTGCAAGGGAAATACAGTTTTTAAGTTCACGTTCCTGACACCAACTCAGCAGCCACCATGTTCTGTTGGCAAGTGGAAGTTTTTACCCTTCTATAAAAAGTGGAAAACAGTTCCTTTCTATTTGGAATGAAGAATAGTTTGGTGGGTTTCATGTGATTATTATGCTAGGTCTGATCCCCATTTGTTTAAAAGCAGAAGAAGAAAGGTTCAGCAGGCCTTAGAGCTCAGAATCCCAGTAAAAGGGCTAAAGATGCAAGTGGTGTAGTGTGGTCAATGCAGCTAAGATTCTCCCATGTGAGAGAACCACCATGCCACAGGCATTGGAGGAAGCTTATTTGAAGTTCTAGCTACAGATACAAACTGGAAAGGTTTGGTGTCTGATTCGAGAATACCAAGTGAAAGGATAGAAAAAGTGCACCATGGAAGGATAGAGTCAAAGAATTATAGATTGAAGGTATAGGCTCTGAATTTACACAGACTTGGGTGCAAACACCAGGCTCTACCATTCACCAGTTGAGGAAACTTGAGCAAGTTGCTTAATTTTTCTGAGTTTCAGTTTCCTAGTCCATACCTATCCAATCCAATAGGATTATATGAGGTTCACATGAGATAATATTGATGAAGTCATTACCCCAGTAAAGAGTAACTAGTACCAGTAAATAAATAGGCATATGGTAAAAAATATTCCATAATGGTCACCACCCTGGTCTCCAGACCTGATGCCCTCCCTATATGATGGGCGTCCCTATATGATGCCCAGTACTGGACAAAATACTCCATGGTCATATGGCCAGTACAGAGTTCTGTGATGCAATTCAGTTGTATTCAGATTTGGGAAATCTATGATAACAGCAGAGGAAGTGATATCTGAACCAGAAGCTGAAAGATGAGGAGGATTTAGCTCCTTGAAAGGAAGGTGAAAAGAAGGAAAGTTCCTGGGAAGGGAGAACAGCATGTGCCTAGGGCTCTGAGGGCCTTTACATTTTGATGCTTCAGACATGTAGTAAAAGAGTACTGTTACTAGCTTCTTACCCCCCATCCTCTCCCAGGCCTCTTTCTTCTTTCAGGCAAAACTAGAGGCAATCATGAGCCTTGAACATGGTCTCAGTAGGGCTACTTTGGCACTCTCCAAGGTTCTGACCTCAACCTCCCTGGCATCTCAGCTCCCTGTCAGCCTCCCTGAGCTCTGACCATCTGCAACTAGACTACATATTCTCAGTGGGGATCATATACCCCCGAGGGAGTAGAAATAGTTTCTTGGAGGGCAAAGAAAGAAGAAAAAAGAAAAAAACCAACTTAGACATTGCAAAAGTTTTTGGCCTCGGAAAAGGCCACAGTACATAAACAAATGTAGTATTTATGTGCTATTAAAATTTAACTGGGGTGAGGGGTGATTGGGAAGAAAATGTCTAAAGATGCCCCTGAGTTGAGGGATAATGCCAAAAAAGGTTAAGAAACATTGAACTAAACCCTTGTAATTTTGCTAGCCTGTGTGCTAAGCTCTCCTGCCTAATGATAAGGATGCAAGTCCTAGCCATAAAATCTGACACAAAATACAATGGCTGTTGTGTTATTCCATCAGGAGGCTGTCTTCTAAGAGCTTCAATGACATGTATTTGGATACGCATCTTTATCAGTGTGCTTTTCCCTGTCAGTTCCTGTGACTGGGTTCAGATGCTCTAGGACCCATATTTGGTATTAGGGTAAACACTGCGGCATAATGGAAAGGTATAAACATTGGAGTCAGACAAACTGGATTCAAATACCTCTGCCACTTACTGGTCTCGTGACTTTGGGTACTTCCTTTTGGTAGAACAAAGAGAATAATACTTATCTTATGGAGATAACATATATAAATAATCTTACACAATCACTGATAGTAATCATCTTTGTATTCTCTAGTGGAATTTCAAAATACTTACTTGGTCCTCTAGACTGGTTATAAAAATTACCTTCCAAGAAAGAAGCAAATCTGAAAGAGCTACATATTGTATGATTTTTACTGTATGACATTTTGAGAAAGGCAAAATTATGAAGGTAGTAAAAGGATCAGTGGTTGCCAGGGATCTGGGAGGAGAGGGAGATGAATAGGTGGTGTGCAGAGAATTTTTAAGACAGCAGAACTACTCTATATGACAATATTATGGTAGATACATGTCATTGTACATTTGTCCAAACCCATATAATGTACAACACCTAATGTAAAGTATGGACTTTGAATAATAATGTGTCAATGCAGGTTCATTGATTGTAGTAAATGGGCCACTCTGGTGGGGGATTTTGATAGAGGGAAGGCTGTCCATACGCAGAGGCAAGGGTATATGGGAAATCTCTATACCTTCCATTCAATTTTGCTTTGAACCTAAAACTGCTCTAAAAAGTAAGATCTATTTGGTTTGTAGTTGGCTTCACAAAAAGGGGTAATATCATTTGAACAGCATCATTTAAGTTAAGGCATTTTCTCTGGAAGACCTCAGTAAATCACTACAACCACCACTATCATCATTGTTATTAACAGCATGCACACCAACCTTTTATTGAATAAAAGCATTACACCATGTACCTTATCTTATTGACTACGCACAATGATTCTAGGGTATTGGTTCTGTTACCACTTCCATTTTATAAATCAGGAAAGGTTTAGATATGTCAAATAGCTTGCCCAAGGCCACACAGCAAGTGAGTAGCAGAAGCAGGAATCCAATGCAGTGACTATTGACCTGACTCAATTTTTGAGGCTTTTAACTAGAGTCTACTACAGCCTCTCTGCATGCAAATGTGTTACACATTAATTTATTAACACCTGTTAACATCTTAGCAAGGATAACTACATGTCCTACCTTAGTAGAAGCATAATTTTGAATTCTACTGGCTCATTACTTTTTTCTTTTTATTGCTGTATTTTTTAAATGATTTAAAAACATTAAAGAACATTTTGAAATATAATTCACCTATAATTTACCACCACAACACCAAAGATATCGTCACTGAACCAGCCCTTATATTTTCTTCCTTTCTTTTTTTTTTTTTTTTAAGATTTTATCTATTTATTTCAGAGAGAGAGTGAGAGAGAATGAGCAGGGAGGGAGGGGCAGAAGCAGACTCCCCTACAGAGCAGGGAGGGAGCCTGCTCAGGACCTGAGCTGAAGGCAGCCACTTAACCAAATAAGCCACCCAGGCGCCCCTTATATGGTTCCCTTTCACTTACAATTATATCTTAAATATTTCCTCATGTTTGTAAGTCATTTTTATATTTTCATCTTAATGACTACAGTCACATAATTAACTAAAACATTCTCTCGTTATTTCAATATTTGCCAACCGCAGGTAAATATATCTATACTTGCTACTTTTTGCCATTTCTGTTGAAGTATTTCCTTGGGAATTTCCAGGGAGGGAGATGCTAGGACAAAAGATAGGAATACCTTCTTAGGGGTCCCTGGGTGGCTCAGTCGGTTAAGCGTCTGCCTTTGGCTCAGGTCATGATCTCAGGGTCCTGGGATCGAGCCCCGCATCGGGCTCTCTGCTCAGTGGGGAGTCTGCTTCTCCCTCTCACTCTCCCTCTGTACGTGCTTTCTCTCTCTCTCAAATAAAATAAATAAAATCTTAAAAAAAAAAAGGAATACCTTCTTAGTACTTGCTTATGTGTTGTCATTTTGCCTTTGTAGGGGATCATACAAATTTATTATGCTGCTAGTGCTCTGAGATCAAACCAATTTTGTCACAGTCTCACCAACATTGGATAGTCTCATTTTTAATTTTTATTATTAAGTAGGCATAAAACCTTAATTTGTCTTTAATCACCAGTGAGGGTGGATAGTTTTCCCATGCTTTAATTTATTATGTAAATCTACTTTTGTGTAAATTGCTTAAGGAAGGTATGTTTTAAGAGGGATAAGGAAGGGGGTGGGGAGTAAAGTTTGGAGTATTAAAACCCTAGGTGAGGGACCAAACACCAGGGAACTCATTTCCAGGATTTGGGTTCCTGGAGCTGGGAAATACTAGCCTAACTTTGGCTTGGGATGGGCCCTCATAAACTATAGTGGTAAGCCATACTGACCACATTTCTTCTCCCTTATGCTTTATTCAAGGACCTGGGTGGAGCTAGATACCAGAGCTATTTGGACTTTCATCAGCTGAAATAGAGCTATCTTTTTTATGCAGGCAATGTGGGTGAACCATCTATCTTCCCACAATAACCATATCAGTTGGGTAGCCTTTTAAATCTTACAAAGAGCTTGTATACCTATTATCTCATTTGATCCTGACAGCAGTCCTGTAAGGGATAGATATTATTTCCATTTCATAGATTAGGAAGCCGTTATCTTTTTTTATTTTATTTTTTTTTAAGATTTTATTTATTCATTTGAGAGAGAATGAGATAGAGAGAGCATGAGAGGGGGGAGGGTCAGAGGGAGAAGCAGACTCCCTGCCGAGCAGGGAGCCCGATGCGGGACTCGATCCTGGGACTCCAGGATCATGACCTGAGCCGAAGGCAGTCGCTTAACCAACTGAGCCACCCAGGCGCCCTAGGAAGCCGTTATTATTGTCATTATGAATAGTCCAGGAATGATCAGTAATTCAGAATGGTCCCTGATGGGTGGAGTTGGTCCTATTCCTCCACATAGACAGCACTGGAGAATGATCTTCCTGCCTCCACTCCTTCCCTCCCACCATCATGATATTTAGGAAAGGGCTTCCAGCTCTTTGTCGTCTTGGCAGGATGGCTGTAGCCTTTTGTTGATGGAGGAAACATTGAAGGTCT